AACTTCTATGGCTTGAGAGTATTTTGCAAAGTTTGTTGACGATAAATGACTGTCAAATACCAAATACAAAAATTGTGTTAAAATTTATATGGTTAGAGATGAAGGTGACACTTCAAATTTGAAATGTGTTGGAAGAGTGAATATATCTTCTTATCTGCCACCGGATCAAGAAAAGTACATAGAGAAGATTTTTGAGGTAATTGTCTAACACAATTATCCTTTTACTTTTGTTGAACATGAATGAATGATGAATTTATTTTGCACCATAATGTTAAGTCAATTTCTAGAAGCAATGTGAAGTCCGATGAGTTAGAGAAAAAACATTATTTTCATTCATTTTCGACCAACATTAATACATTTAATTTGGCTGAGAAGTTAATAGGTTAAAAGAGTGTGCTATTGAGAAAAAAAACTTCATATTTAAAGGAGGAATATTTTGAAGAAACATCTATTACATATATTAGGATTAATAGCTAAAGAAGCATATTTTCAGGTTAGATATGCATCACGTCTTAAATTTAATTGTTTGTGATGGTTTAAAGGTGTGATAAATGAATATTTAGATAAAATTAGATTGTGTTTGAAATGTATAAGAGACTAACAGATTCGAAAGTCAAAATTTGCATTTTGTTTAAAGCACTCTTAAATATTACTTTTAAGCAAGTTCGTCAAGACATGCCTATTAAATAGAATTTCATTCATCTTATGCATGAGAATGTTATAGGCCAACGAGAAGCCTATCTCCAAAGCGATATTGATCCTACATTGATTGTCCTTTATCAAAGGAAGAATAGATTGAAATAAAAATAGTTTCGTAGGTCTTCCTCATTGTCTTCTGGACAAACCCGCTTGAGCATAAATCCCATCAACTTTCTCTCACTGTTCAATCCATTGCTTATGCAACCTCTCTATTCCGATATCTTGCATTCACCACAAATCTTTTTGCGTCTAACTTCAAAAGCTCTCCATCACATGTACTTTTTCTGTTTCTCTTATCAAGGCAGGGATCAATATCACTTATCTCTTAATCCACTCCTTTGATAAATAATAATCAAAGCAGGGATCAATATCACTTATCTATTGATCTATAGAAGTCTCAATCATCAAATAAGGGAATTCGACCTAACATGCATGTCTTACAAACTTGCTTAGAAGTCACATTTAAGAGTTCTCTAAACAACAAGCGAACTTTCATTTTCGGACCTCTGAGCCTCATATACTTCACACACAATCTAATTTTATCGAAAGATTCATCTATCACCTTTAAACCATTGTGAACAATTAAGGTTAAGTTATGACATGTGCTTCATATCTAACATGAAAATATGTTTTTTAGCTGTCAATCCTAATTCATGTAATAAATGTTTTCTTCAAAATAGTAACCGAATAGTTTTTCCTAATACCCCACTTCTTTAACAAATTTCTTTTCTATTCAACTTAAGAACTTCAGACTTCATGTGTTTCTTAGACTTAACATTATGGTGTAAAAAATGATGTAAGCTCATTATCTCTTTATATTCAACAAAAAAAAGGATAATTGTGTTCCACAATTACCAAAGAAATCTTTTCTTTATCAACCAAGATATATTCCTCCCCTGTGAAGCATATTTTATCAAATTTGAAGTGTCACCATCATTTCTAGCAATATAACTTTTATCACAATTTTTGACTTTTGACAAACCTTTATCATTAACAAACTTTTCAAAAAACTATAAGTTTTTATTTTTTTGAACTAGAGACTGAACTTTCATCTAACTCCATCCTCAACTTAAATTATAGATTCCTCTTTGACCCTTTTTGGTAAATATATTTCCTATAATTTGACAATCATTAAAGATGAGTACTGAATGACTGTCTAGTAGAGTGCTGAATATTAAACAAATGAGCTTTGCTATGTTTAAATTACCTACACCATATTTGTACACCATGAATATTAAACAAAGCATTTTAAGAATGGCATACAAATCAAGGCAAGGAAAAAATATTAAAAAAACAAAAGGTACATGTAATGGTATGAAAATAGATATGACCCTCAATTGAAAGTCACTAATATTGTGTCTTCTATAATATTTTATACTTTTCTCCAAACATCACATATGCAACTTACAGGCTCAGAATTCATTACATGTTGATGCCTATAGGTCTTATAAGCTAAAGGAATTGTAAAATGAAACGAAAGAGAACAAAATGATTTATTATTGAAATGTGAGAGAATCAAAGCAAGCTCTACCATGAGAATGCTCTCCTTTTAGAACCGAGAGATCAACAAAACTCATAATATAGAAAGTTGTTTGTCTATCTTTTACCAACAAAGTGGAATACTTAATTTGATCACTAAAACAGAGACTAAAACATAGAGAGACTTGGTAGTAGCCAAAAAGTTACATCCATATTATTCTTTTTACAAAAGCTTTAAAAGTGGTAAACTACTAAATGCCATCTCTACTATTGAATGGATATACAAAAGCATTTAGAAATATTAGTAGAGATGATATAGCAAAATTTACTAAATGATTTTAGCTCCTGATATATCCTTGTCTACTATGATGTAAAGTACCAAAATTTGAATAGAAGAAAATCCAAAAGAAAATATGTATAATATAGGATGAATCCTCTCAATAAGATGAATAAAACAGAAAAGTAAATAACAATGGAATGGAGCTATGTTTCTTGTAAAATGATCAATCACAAACCGTAGAATCCTAGCACATATATAATGAAATAAGGTTGATGGTGATCATGCATGAATCCTGGATGAAGCTATAAAGAAGCGTTCTTTTGGCCGTTATGCGCCAATGTTTATGGACATTGGTTGATTCTAGCACATATTCGATGAAATAATGGCGGTAAAAGAAGGTTATGCATTCTAAGTGGTCGTTGTGTATGAGAATATTCCCGAGTACTATGATCATTGTAAGGTCATGCAACAAATTGAAACATAAGTCTCCAGTAGAGGAGGATCACACAACAAAGGATCAAGCTCCAAAGTTCATAATGTTGTTAGCATCGTGGCAAAATCTGTGTTGAAAAATGATAATATTTTGAAACATTATACACTTATTGTGGAAGATCCAGCAGATGGAGTCTCGTCTATCCTGATAGGGGTATGCAAGCTCTCAATCTTTGGCATCTTTGGAGAAAAGGTAATAAGCTTCAGCTGATTTTTGTATCCGATCAACGCCTCGTGTTGGAGCTATTATTAGGACACACACGAGTATATATTGCAGCCATATATGCTAGCACCTCTTATTTGGTGCAACGGTACCTCTAGGCCGACCTTACTAGACTTCAAGCATCTACATCGGCCCGTGGATATTTGCAGGTGATTTCAATGTCGTTCTTGGCACACACGAGGAGCGTGGTAAGAGGCCCTCTGCCTAAAATTTCTTGCGACCATTTCCTTCTATGGACTAACGCGAATCAGTTAGTTCACTTTAATACCGATGAGGTTCAATTCACTTGGAGAGGAATCCGTGTCTTTGAGATTAGATCGTGCCATTTGTAATCATCAATGGCACTCAGTTACCTATTGCACCTAGCATGTGTGTAGTTTAAGGTATGATTTAAATCATATATCATTCTATTCCTTTTCGTTTAGTCGGTGACTTAGACGTTGAAATATTAACTTTGCAGGCGCAGTTTAAGGTACGATTTAAATCATAATTCATTCTATCCCTTTTCGTTTATTCACTGACTTAGACGTTGAAATACTAGCTTTGCAGGTCCATCTCTACGCGACCGCATCAGAGATATACACCACCACATCAAAAATCTACACTAACAATTACAGTTTCCTAATGGAACAAAAGCATTTTTTTTCTTCTTTCTTTTATATTTATAAGAGTCATGATTTCTTTATTTTCCTAGAAGCATTCAATCCGTCATGGAAATAAACCAGGCCCGGCCCTGTGCCTGTGCAACAAGACCCGCAGCACAGGGCCTCACATATTCGGGGGCCTCCTAATATATTTAGGCATGTAAGGTATTTTATATATTAACGTTACTAATAAATAATTATATTATCAATGTAGTGCAGTGGATGGATGCAATTGTAATTCTTAGACATGCTTGACATCCATAAAAACTACATACACTTGAAATGCAAACAGTTTATTACTATTATTTTAGCTATTGAAAAATGTTCATGATAAAATATAATATATGCTATGGTTTGCTAATTCTTCTTCTTCTTTTTGATAAAAATTTATTATGATTAAATAGATAAAAGAATTCTTAAATTTAAAATATTTTTGAATAACCTAGCTTAATGTAGTATTTATAAAATTTATACCGTTTTTTATTAGTTTAGCATGTTAAATATCACCTCCTATTAAAATCTCTTTGTATTTTTTTAAGAAATATGTTATGTTTTATACTAAAAATATATATTAATAGATTGGAGTATTAAAGTTTGTCATGTAAATTGTATTCAATTTATTTTATGGTTGTATGAGCTAGCAGCAAATCTAAAAGAATAGAGAAATTTTACTGACATAAAATATACGAAAATTATAGTAATCACATTTGTTGAAATATTTTAAAATAATTTTTTAATTTTCTTATTTTTTATGCTATTTACAATTTAAAATATTTTTATATTTTATTTTATTATGGGTTCTATTATTAAAATAGAACAGGGCCTCTAAATAGTTTGGGCCGGCCCTGAAATAAACTAATACTCAGTGTCACTTATCTATCATAGCTTGTTTGGATTTTATTCAATTTTTGCATAACGACAAGTTTATACATAATTAAATACCAATCTCTCCATTTTATAATTGCTGGCTGATGACTGCAAAGAGCACAAAAACATAGAAAAAATCACCATCAACCTTACATCTTCCTTCCTTGTTACATTTATAACTATATTTCATCAATATCATATTCAAACATTTATATTTTATTCTTACGTTATCAATAAAATACAACTTCTCCACCTTAATGATAATGCTTACACTCTCCATATTTTTCTAGTTAAACAAACATCTTGTCTTCTACTCATGGAAATCAACCATTTTTCTTCCACTCATGATTCTCTAGAACAACTTCTGTCCCAAAACAAACAACATAGTTTCTCTGAAATGGAACCGTTGGAAGAGATTAACAATCCTCCAACAAAGGGGAATGAAAAAGTACCAAACATGTTCAACAATCAAGAATTTGAAGTTGGTAACTTCATGTTAGAAGATACCAGCCTCGACCCTTTTCAAGAAACTACATCAACATGGCCAAAGAATCATAATCACAAAGTTTCAACTCCAAAGCCTTTACAAAACAATACTCAGATGCCGCTATCTTTATCGTCCTTAGAGATTCTGAGAAACCATGGGAGAAGATTCATGAAGTTAAGTGAGAAAAACATAGTCAACACTAAAACATGTTTGGATTCGGAACTACATCAAAAGATGTCAACAGAAGGAATAATAAGAGTAGCTGGAGCAAGGTATACTCAACACTCTTCTTCTCATTGGAGTGAAAGCTCTTGCATCCAAACTCATCCTTATGGATTTGATCTTCATGGTTTATCCGAGGAAGACAGTCGAGATATTGAACTTGCACAGTTTCTGTTTTCAGCTGCTGAAAGGGTGAGTTTTCAACAATATGAACGTGCGAAAAAGTTACTTTTTTACTGTCAATGGAATTCATCTTTCACAGGAAACTCGGTTCAAAGAATCGTCTTTCATTTTTCTCAAGCACTTCAAGAGAGAATAGAGAAAGAAACAGGAGGAATGATTAAAGGGTCAGAGAAAAATGAAGAAAGTGAGTTACTTGGGAAGATGGATACCAAAAAAGCACTTGTGTGTCATCAGAAAATCCCTTTTAATCAAGTTATGCAATTCATTGGTATACAAGCTATAGTTGAACATGTTGTGTTTGAGACTAAAATACACCTAATAGATTTTGATCTAAGAAGTGGTGTCCAGTGTATAACATTGATGCAAGCATTGGCTGACAGAAAAGGTTGCATGGTTGAGATTTTTAAGGTAACAACAATTGGATTCAACTCATGCAAGAACAAGATTGAAGAAACAGGTAAAAACTTAGCTAGTTTTGCTGAATCATTGAACTTTCCCTTTTTGTTTAAAGCTGTTTTGGTAGAAGATATGTTAGAGATCAAAGAAGATGATTTCGAAATCGAAGAGGATGAAGCTGTTGCTGTTTACTCTCCGTATTTTCTAAGAAATTTGATTTCAAGACAAGATTGTATGGAAAATTTGATGAGAGTATTGAGATGTATCAAACCATCTATAATGATTGTCCTTGAGATTGAAGCAAGTCATAATTCACCGTCTTTCGTGAACCGATTCGTCGAGGCGTTGTTCTTCTACTCGGCTTTTTTCGATATCGTTGAGACGTGCATGAGCGAGGAGGACGAATGTAGAATGATAATAGAAGGAATATTATCTGCAGGGATAAGAAATATTGTTGCAACAGAAGGTAGTGAAAGGAATGTTAGAAATGTGAAAATTGATGTTTGGAGAAGGTTCTTTGCAAGGTATAGAATGGTTGAAACTAGGTTTAGTGAGGCATGTCTTTACCAAGGTGAATTGGTTGTTAAAGAGTTTGATTATGGGAAGTTTTGTAATGTGGAAAAGAATGGGAAGTGTTTGATTTTGGGATGGAAGGGGACTCCAATGCATTCAATTTCAGCTTGGAGGTTTCTTTGATGATCATCTTCAATCTTCATTCATTTGTGATATATAATGCTGAGGTAACACTTTAGTAAAATTTGACTTTATAAGAGACAATTTAAATCATGTTTAAGACAGTTGTAAAATGTTTTTGGTGTATACTTATAAGTTAATGTTTTTATATTTGAACTTTATGACTTGTATGGTTATTTATAATATGAAGTATTTCATTATCATCTTTGTTTCAACATAAAAAATCTAAATAACAATTTGTATGTTAAATAGAACACGAAAGGTAATATCATCGTGAAATTCCATTAAACTTAAAGATATTGTTCTTATGATTGTATTTTACCATCAAATAAGATAACAAAAATGTACAGAGTCTTATAAAAGAAGATATTGTTCTTATGATTGTGTGTTTGAGATTGCTTTATAAAATTAGTCTTATAAAATAGTTAAGCGTAATATAATTTTGTATAATAGATGTGATTGAAATGATTGTCGTATACATTTATATTCAAAAATAAAATAAAAGAAAGATGAAGAAGTTAAGCAACCAACTCCTTACTTAATCTAAATTTGTTTTATACGAGATGTGTAAATCGAAGAATAGAAGATAAAGATTAAAAGTGTTTTGTGTTAGATGATAAATATAAAAGTACAAGGTACACTGTAACCACTCTGCTAAGGTGGCGCAAGGATAGTTCTTTTGTACTATGTTGTTTAACACTCCCAAAATGATCGTTATGAGACAAAACAACTGGATTTCTGTTTCTCGTTCTACCCCCCAACAGATCTATTTTCAGCTATAAAACTTACGTTGAAAAGCTGCACAAATCTCTTTTGAGATATACTTTGTATAGTTTTCTAAATTAGCAAGGAGTTTTTGTTCATATCTTGCTATTAACACTTTTGTGTTATGTGCTTAAACTTTGTGTAATCTGCTTGTGTAGAAGTATCTTTGTATACACACACTTGTAATCAACAGTGGTTGATAGTTCCTTGAGATACTAAGGTTTGGTCAGAAGTCTCAAGAAGACAATGGGAGTTGTCCATTGTGGTTTGCAATAAGGTCGATTAGACTTGTTGTGGTTTTTGTAATCAGTTTGGTTATAGTGGATTAAGTCTTTTTTGAAGGCGAAGTCGCCTTGGCGGGTGGACTAGAGTAACTTAGTTAACAGTGAATCAGGATAAAAATAATTGTGTTCATATTTTTATTCACTTGTTAGCTTTAAGTTTAAGTTTTCAAAAAGATTAGGTGAAACTCTATTCAAACCCCAATTTCTTATGTTTCTTGTATCTTTAATTGGCATCATAGCTCCGGTTATGGGATTGATCGTTATCAAACACTTAACCGTGTCAGATAAAGATTCAGACGAGTTTTTAGAAACACTATGGTTGATCCTACACCACCTCCCGTTGCTCCAGTTTCAAATGATAGAGACAACCACAATGCTAAGTATCTCCCATGGTGAAAAGTTTGAGTACTGGAAAGATAGACTAAAAAGTTTTTTTTCTAGGTTATGATATTGATTTTTGAAATATGGTAGTTGATGGCTACGCATCTCCCACAGATGACGCTGGAAAGAAGCTTGAAAGAAGAACTATGAATGATCAGCAGAAAAAGGATTAAAAGAATCACCATAAAGCAAGATCTATTTTGCTGAATGATATTTCTTATACTGAGTATGAGAAGATGTTGAATGTCAAATATGTCTTAATTTGAACCATTATTCTTGGCATTTTTCAACTCAATTCTTAAGTCTTAATTGATTTATTCCTTGTTCTTGTGTGATTCTTCAATATGATTGATTTTACCTTTGGATTCCTTGATATGTGTGTTATTGTGTAGGAATTAGGCTTGATTATCAAAGGACAAGGCGCAAATGAATAGACAAGGAAGCCAAAGAAATGATTAGGAATCCAGCAAGTTCGCAGTGCAAGTAAGTAGTGAAGTGCAGGCGAGCTCGCAGTGCGCGCTCAAAGCGAGGCCAAGATGAGTTGGGAATTTTGGATGGCAGTAGCTAAACGTCTCACTAAACGCAGTGCGAGGCATGGGCAAAGAAGTTTATTGTGCGAACACGAGCTTCATAGTGCGAAGTCAAAGAATCCTCAGGGGCGGTTTCACTGTTCAAAGGCACTTCATGTGTCTAAAAGTGAAGTTCGTAGTGCGAACAGAGACCTCGTAGTGTGAGCGAGGCAGACTTTGTAAAGATATTTTTGTATATTTCTTACTTCTTGGGGATAATAACCTCATAACTTCATTTTTCAGAAATAGACACATTAATTTAGAGAGTAAAATTTTAAGTTCTTCATTTCTTCATCAAGAAGTGATATTTTACAAGTAGAAACTGGATTCACATCTTAGATCGATTCATCATCTAGGATGCACATTCATCTTCTATCTTTCCTTGTGAAGCAAGCTACCATGGTGATGGGTAACTAAATCCTTTATATCAAAGGTAGATGCAGTCTATCTTAACTTATATGTATTTCTTTTTATCTCTTTATATGTGAACAAGTGATGATTAATATATGGTGAACGTTTTTGTTCTTAAAGATCTATTTATGATTTGTATCACTCTTTTAAGACTACTTTTCTTGATAAGTATTTTCCCAGCTCTTTAAGGATTCAAAAAGAGTTTTAATTTCAATAGCTTATATAAGGTAATATGTCAGTAGATTTATATGCTGAGAAATTTGAAGATATGACTGCTTACTCTAGACAGACTGTGTACACAGCAGATGAAAAATGGAAGATTGATCAGTTTCTGTTTGGTTTGAGAGGTGAAATTTATCATAGTGTGTCTTAGAGGAAATTCTCTACATATGCTGAGTTACTAAGGCAATGCTATATGGATGAGAATAGTTTGAAGAAAGTTCAAGAAGAAAGGAATCAGTTTAGGGTTGGTCAGAAGGACCAAGGGAGACCAAGTCATCAGTTTAGGCCTAGACCTCAACCTTTCAAAAGGAAATAGGTGCAGAATGTGAGACCTAGCACTCTTCCCTCATGCCAAAGATGTCATAAGAATTATTATGGAAGATGTAGCCTCGAAGGTGTGAGATGTTTGCAATGTCAGAGAGAAGGTCTATAGCTAGAGATTGTCCTCTGAATAAGAATCAGATGCAAGGGAAGAATACCGTTCAGGATTATACCTTAGATACGAGGAAGGCTAAGGGTGGAAACGCTTTAATTATCGGTACGTGTTTCGTGAATGGTCATCCTTATTTTGTACTGTATGATTATGGATCAACACACTTCTTTGTGTCAATACAATGTATAAAGCGACTTGGCTTGCAAGCAATTACCTTGTCGCCTCTTATGGTGGTTACTACCACCATGGATGATATTGTTAAGACACCTTTGATTTGTGAAAATTCTTTGCTTTCACTTAATGGTAAAATTTTCCAGATTGATCTTATCTGTTTACCACTTAAGAAAGTTTATGTAATCCTGGGGATGGATTGGCTTTCTGCTAATTCGGTGTTTATTGGGTGTGAAGAGAAGTTAGTCATCATTCCGTCTAGTGAAGCTACTCCAAAGAAAAGTCTGCCCTCTTGGTTCTCACCAAGGAAACAAGTGACAACCTGAAGGTTTCACAAATTCCTGTATTTTGTGAATTTCCAGAAGTTTTCCCCGAGGATGTCACTTCTCTTCCTCCAGAAAGGGAAGTGAAATTCTCTATTGATCTGATACCTTAAACAAATCCAATATCCGTTTCTTCGTATCGTATGACGCCACTCGAGTTAAGAGAATTGAAGAATCAATTGAAGGAGTTGTTGACTAAATATTTCATTCGACCTAGTGTCTCACCTTGAGAAGCTCCAGTGCTGCCGGTGAAGAAAAAAATGGTAGTATGCATTTGTGTATTGATTATCACTAGTTGAATAAAGCCACCATTAAAAACAAGTATCCCATACCTAGGATAGATGGTTTTTTAGATCAATTGAAAGGAGCCTGTGTATTCTAAAAGATTGATTTGTGGTCGGGCTATCATCAAATTTGAGTTAAGAATTCTGATGTACCAAAGACCGCATTTAGGACCCGATATGACCATTATGAATTTCTTGTGATGCCTTCCGGTGTGATGAATGCCCCATCTGTTTTTATGGATTACATGAATAAAATATTCCAACCTTACTTGTACCAGTTTGTAGTGATTTTTATTGTTGAAATTCTTATTTAGTCTCATACTTCACAAGAGCACAGAGATTATCTAAGAATTATTTTGTCAGTATTGCAAGAGAAGCAACTTTTTGCCAAGTTAAGCAAGTGTGCATTTTGGATGACTAATGTTAAGTTTCTTGGTCATGTCATATCACAAAGAGGAGTAACAGTGGATCCGTCTAACATCTGTGACCCATAATATGATTCTTGATGTTGTAACCTCTTGAATATGTTTTTTTATACACCATTCCACTTGTTTATGTGTCATGTTAGAACCATAATATGTTTAGGGTTTTTTTTCTTGCCTTTGTGAATGCTTGAATGTGAATGGTATACCTTGAACTTGTTTGTGATTCATAACATGATTCTTGATGTTTTAACCTCTTGAATATGTTTTTCATGTCTCATTCTTGTTTATGTGTCTTGTTAGAACCATAACATTCTAGGATTTGATTGTTGACTTGGTTGTTACCATGAAACTTGCTTACTTTTCCTCTTGAAGTCATGAACAAATACTTGAATTGTTGTCACATTTCTTGTGTTTTTTCCTGTTTGATTGTTATCAATACATGTTTAGATGGTATCACGTTGTTAAATTTGATCTCATTTGATCCTCATAACATGCTTGCTTCAAGTTGTAACTTCTTTGCATCAATCTTGTTTGAGTGTTATAGATGAACTTGTTGTTGTTACACATGTTCTTACTTGCATTGATGATTGTTACCTCTATGTCTTTATGTTGATCTTGACTATTGTTCATATGTTGTTACATGTTCTTGCTTATTTCTTTAACTTTGTTAAGCCTTCCCTAAGTGATGGAAGTTGTTAGTTCTTATCTAGTTGCCTCATCTTTCTCCTATTCCAA